TAGCCCGCAACAATGATTTTCAGGGAGAAAGGAGTCTTGTGTTTGAAATCTGTCCTGCCTGACAGTGATAGAGCTCAAGGTCCAGTGCTTTAAGCAAATCTTGCGTTGATGCAGGTGGCTGAGAAATTGAAATCTGCCTATTTATATTAAAATTGCATTCCACAAAAGCGTTTTTCCAAGGAAACTAGAGATGTTAAACAACTGGGCTGTGTGATGTGTCCTCTGAGGCAACTGGTGTGATAACAAAACATGCATTAAATAAAATCTGCCTTCTCCACGCTCATCTAATTGAACATCCATATCTGTAATTGAAGTATGGGCAGGGGGGGTTGTCTCTTATCCATGTCGGGGTCTCCTTTCCTACTCGGGGTACCTTAACATTTTGAAATAGTTAAAGTTTGGGACAATTTAACGGCACGGATTTGCAACGGCAGAGTCGCACACACGATCTGAGCCTACTGCCTGCTCTGAAACCCAGCGCGCTAACCACAACATCACACCCTTTTTCCGTTCGCAATTGTAGCGGAGCGCGTTTGGACTCGGTGACGTCATCGCCCTCCCTGCGCGTAGCTGCGACCTCGGCCGCGACGGTCACACCGTGTCCCTCAATTAGGAACTACTGCCTTTCCGCAATTACAGCATTAAGATGACCAGTTTGATAAATCGCTTTGTGATTCCAACAGAGATGATCGGTATGTCAATGAAATTCACCAGATGTGGAGAGGTGCTGCGTCGTAAGAGATCGGGTTTTCTATTTACCCCTTTCTAAAAATATTGCCCACTGCGGTTACAGTACCTTGAGCCCCTGAAACTTTATTTTGAGTTGAGTTCCGTCTGCGCTGTGACGTGTCTGGCTTCGTAATGAGCTTTTTTTCCATACAAAAGTCAAACCCTCAGACAGAAACTCGCAGCTGATCGATAAAAGCCCAAGGGGGGGGAGAAGCGGTCATATTACCTCTCCTGTAAGAAAAAACAGGGCCTTATATAATGTCTGCAAACGTTCTGCACCAGGCAGGAAGTAACACCTGACTGCACAAACCAGTATCCCGCTGGTCAGTTTGAGGAGAGCAAAGGGCTGACAGTAGCGCTAGATTGCTCAGCCACAAGACAGGAAAATAAACCACCAGAGTCTGCTAGTTTCCATTGCGTAGCCACGAGAGTTCGCGAAAAATATTTAAAAAAAACAAGTCTCCTGCCCCCTACGAGCTGGGCTCCGAGAGTGGTGACCGAGCGTGTCAAAAACAGAGGGCGATTTCGGAGACTTGGTTTCCTAGGTTCTGCAACGTCTGCAGCCCTTAATAAGCAACAGTTTAGCAAGCCTGGAAGAAATCGGGCCCCTTTATATGCCTTGACCTCTGCACATTGGATAATCTGCTGTAAAAGAGAAACCGAATAATAGGCCGCGGTGAGATTAAACATAAACGGGGCAGAGAAGAAATATTCGCGGCCCGTCGTCTTCCCGAATATGGGTCTTACAAGGTTCATTCCTAAAGTCACGTTATAGAAAGTTTCAAAATGAACGCGACCGTTTGCCCTCTGCTTGTCTCTGCGTATCTCGACAACACTGCCTCCCTAAATCTTTTCATACCGAAACTGATAGATACTCGGAGTGTGTCGTGCAGGGTTATTAACAGTGTTAAAGGAGGGGCGCAGTCTCTCTGGAAGAGCCAGCTGGGGGTGAACGGAGACCCCAAGAAACAGCCCCGCTCCGCTCCGGACCGACGGCAGCAAGCTCGGAATAAACCTTATGGCAGAACAGCTGAATGTCTCGTCTCGCCTGTTTGTTTAAGGCCCTGGAAACAACGGCAGGCACTTTCATGCATGTTCAAAGGCATTCAAGATTCAGCAATAAATGAGTGTTGGAACCAGTGGTATTTTTTGCATTATTAATAAATCAGTTTATACAGTAAAGTACACAATGTGTACCACGCCCAAAGAAGGCACCACAGCCGAAAGGTTGTTTATTTTCTCCTATTTTCAGCATGGAATAAACCTTTACTTGTTCCTCTACAGAATAGTACCTATGAGTATTTTGCTGACTTAGCCTTAGAACGGTAGGGCATGGGAATAAATTCGACCTGAGAAACGTCTCCTTTAGAACTCCCCTTGTTTATCTGGTGACAGAGCGACATTTGATTTCTAAAGTTCGGCTCGGCTCGGCTCGGCTCGGCTGCAGTTCGACTGCGGAGACCAGCGGGCTGCGTTGTGGGTGGCGGGAGAGCGACGAGACGGGCTGGCTCATTTGGGTCAGGAAAGGAAACGATTATTAATAAAGCCACGTCTCTGAACGGGGGAAGGAGCGTCCGGGATGTTCCTGGCTGCTACTGTTCCAGCCTCATGAAAGATTTAATTAAATTCAGCAGCGATAAGATACGAGGCTTAATAAGCAGAGCGGCCATGGCTAGCGGGGGGTGCATCCAGTTTTAATTTCATTTCGTCGGAGTGTCTTTGAGTCACTTGTGCAAGTACCATCTGGCGCCCGCTCACGTTGGTACGATAAGCAGTGACAGCCGGTATGTGCCCACAGATTTATATGACATCAGCTCTAATGAGGAGGTAGGCGCCTGGATTCTCGTCTCATTCTCACGCCGCTCTTTCTCTCTTTTTGCCTGACAGCCCCCCTCCACGATAAAATCTGCCGTCCAGCGAAGAGCTGCGTTAACTTTCGTCCACTACTCGCCCTTAATAAGACGCACAATCACGCCCGTCCCGACGAGAGCCCTTCGGGCCCCCCGCCCAGACTCGCGGTTCTGAGCTTTCAGTGCAGTCCTGCATTACAGTTAGGTAGGGAGAAAAGCGATTTGAATTAATCACCTATACAGCTGAGTGAAAATTAAAAGCTTAACTGATCCTGTGTTCGAAACAGAGCACACGAATATCGGAGACGGGCATTGTTGATGTTTTTTTTTTTCCCGCATTTTTACTCTCACTAGTTAATGTTACTTCCCTTGGGACACAGACTCGGTTCGGAGGGTCCTTTTTTTGAGAAGATAGTTATTTTGTGGCAGGATACGATTGTACTCGCTAATAAGCCTTTTTTTGTTGTTGTTGTCAAGAAAAAGAAGATATTGGAAGATATTTTAAATACGATTCATCATTAACACCGAAGAAGACTCAAGACGAAACCTTTGACAATAACGTACCCATTGTATTTCTTTAAAATCTACCAGTTTCGTTTTCGCTGCCAGGGCTGTCCTATCCGATTAAATCTACAAGACGCTACAGTGCGCTGCAGGGCTGAGGGACCTAATTTTCGTGTTGTGGTAAAACGCAGGCAGATCATTTTTCAGCCTGAACATCTTTGCTGAAAATCCTAATGTGATAATTCCCTTTCGTTATCAATCTCAGACAGAACACATGCAATAAGTGAGATTTCGAGACCAAGAATCGGCATTAAGGTGAACCGTAGAAAAATCACCACTAGTATTACAGAGGCCTGTCCTTGTACAAAACTAACTATTGTAAATGGATTTTGGCACCTCGGGCACCAGTACCAACCTTCTGCAGGAACATCTGCTTCAGGCTCTGCTGGACACACAAGGCCAGGCTACAAGAGATGGTTGTGTTTGTGTCTGCTCCCTGTTGTGCTTTGTATTTTATCTGCTTTGAATTTGTGTCTTTGCCAAAGCCCTTCGTCTTAATCAGATAGTCTAATTCTTTTATGGCCATCTGATAATGCTTTAGTGGGAGTCAGCAGGGCTTTTCAATGACCTCGAAATTGGCTTGATCCCTGTTTTCCTTTTCTTCAGTCCTGTTTAGAGCCATTAAACGTTTTAAAGAATATGGACAGATTTGCTGCCGGAGTCACTTTGCCAGCACTATAACTGTCTAGATCCTGTCTTGAATGAGACGCTGTGTAACCTGGAGTTCTCCAGGGTTTGGCTTGTGGTTTCTTGTTGTGCACATGTCAATTATTGGAAGATCCCCACAGGAAATACAGTCTTGGTTTAAAATAAGATAGATAAGATCACTTTATTGGCCATTCCAAGTTCATCTTTTCACATACCCTAGCTTGCTCTCCATGAGACACAGACAGGGAGAGAAGCTAGGGGTCAGAGCGCAGCGTACAGCGCCCCTGGAGCAGTTGGGATTCAGGGCCTTGCTCAGGGGCCCAGAGGAGTAGGATTCCTCTGCCGGCTGCGGGATACGAACTGGCAACCTTCCAGCCACAGGCGCAGATCCTGAACCACAGAGCCACCACTCCGCCCCCTTGCGATCCCCTTAAATCTAGCAAATCTGTGCAAATCTATGCAGGCCCTGGAGCTCAGGCAGGCATTACAGTAACTCCTCCAACGGGGTGAGGAACTGCAGTTGGTTTGCCGATGGAAATAAAATTTCTGAAGCTTTTACCTTGATGGCCTCTCTTAATTGGACCAGCGAAATGAGGTTCAACAACACTTGCTGTCAATTACTACTTCACTAATCCACACATAAAAGTAAAAAGAGTACATTGACTCAGTGATTCCTCTACTTTAATTGCTGCTGTACAGAAACACTTTCATTTTTATATTTAACTTTCTATCTTTGAACCATATATCCTGAATAGTTTTGAGGACTATTGAGGAAGTTTGTATTTGTTTTTTTATCATAGGTCTGCACTTATTATCCCTATAATTGAGACTAAAGGCCGGGAAAAGAGCACTCGAGTTTCATCTGGACGTGCGGTTTGATGAAGCGGTGGTTTACATCTTAGAGGTTAATTCGCTCCACTCTAATCAACCAGCTTCAGCGCGCAAAGCTGGAGCTCTTCATCCCGACCTTCATCACACCGGGCACCGCCCACCTACTCTGTCTCCCGCCCCGAGTCGGAGGCGATGAGTGACTGACGTTTTCAAGATGGCGCAGAACGGCAGAAGGTTCTGGCCCGAAACGTTTGTGCCTCACCGGCGCTGTGCAGCCGCCGACTGCCCGAAGAAGAGCGGCGTGGCTCGTTCAGCCTGCCGCTCCGCCGTGAAGCGGGCCGAGGCGGGAGGAGGTGAGAGGCGCCCCCAGGTGCTTACCGCTCTCCCGGGTGTTGTAGAGGGAGTTCTCCTCCATGGGCGCAGCCGACGAGTCGCCCCGGACCGAGTGCTGCAGACTGTTGCGCTTCGACAGCGACGGCCGTTCGTTCCAGTTCATCTGCGCGACAGAAGCGAATCGGGATTTGACACAGTCGAGGCTCGGTGCGCCGTCTTTTTTGGCGTAGCTAAGACGCATCATTTCGACTTTCTGCGCGTCTCCTGGGAGGCTGCTTTTAATGCTCAATAATGGTTTTTGCATGTCTGAGCCACCGTTTTATTATTGTTGTTTTTCTGCTACCCCTCTTTCGTCGACACGTATTATTTGTGCAACACGTTGCGCTCGGCGGAAAGAGGACATTGGAGGACACAAAAGACGACTGGTCTATTTTCTGTATCGAGCTAGAAACAGATATTTCAGTGAGAGCTTCAACGTTATTTTGCAAGACTCATTGGGAAATTATACACACTTCGACATTTTTGCCTCCCTGTGTTCATTCATGGTGTCCATTTTGCAACACCTGCCTTGGGAAGGATGTTGTTTCCATGAATTGCTTTTAAAGCTGGGTTACTGCCTGCTGTTGTTAAAACAAAAATACATTTTTCCCAGCTGATCACCATTGAGCATGGTCTCCATCATTGAAAAGAATTGCACAGCTCCTCTTTGGGACTGTGAACTTGTTGTACAGATGGTGAATGTTGTCTGTAATAATTTCCTGTTTTTTTCACATTTTTCACATTGACCCAATTTTCTGCTTATCATGCTTGATAATGTAAAAAAAAACATCCTTAATAATAACCTTTCTTTTATATAAGGCCTTTTGTGGTGCTTAATCTCAAAACACATTTCAAAGAGCAGTGCAAGGTTATGTAAGAGGAAGATCTTTGTCATGGAAAGTCTTTGCAGCCCTTTGGGGAATCCTCTTGGTGCAGCAATGCAAAACACCCCCACAGCATTTCCTCTCCTTCCACTTTTGCAGCACTCAAAATAAAACTGGGTTTATTTCTGTTGGACCTATTTCCACGTGCCCATTCTGGCCCCTTGCACCCGTCTGTGGGGAGTTTGCATGCTCTCCCAGTGTGGGCACAGGCGTTTGAGTGGGAAGACACGGCGGTGAGGGTTCAGTAGCTGTTTAAAACCGGTCCCTGGGGGAACCTGCCGTCTGTCTGATACACTTCACTTCCCTGGTGTGACTCAGCGTGGCGGCACCACAGACGGAGGCTAGGCTGCTGTCGATCTCCATTTCAGGCGGCGCCGAGGCTCCGCAGTGAGGGCAGCCCTGAGTGATGAGAGCTAGCAGAGGGACCACAGAATGGCGCCTCGTTATTCTGGAGATGGGGGGGCTCAAGGCCTTTTTAATTTGTAGCGCACCAGACTCCATTATAGGTGGAGCAGAGCTGGGAAAATGGGAAACACGTACTTCGTCCCCTGGCTCTGCATTAATAACGGAAGCGAAGCGTTTCTGTGAGCTGGGGGTGATCACTTGGAGATGACTCCTTTTTACTCACCGACAGCAGTCTGGGTTTTCAGTTAGAGCTGCTCCATGTGCAGTCTGGAGAGAGACGGTTTCCGTGCTGGTGCCCACCCCAGGCACTGTTTTGCACACCTTCCTCTTCCCCATTCTCTCATCTTGACGTCTCGGCATTTCAATTTGCAGAAGCGCTGTTGCTCCGCAAGACAGCTCGGCGTGACTTCTGGATGGTAAAGTTGCACACAAGTGCTGCCGCCACCCAAATTAAAACTGCTCTCTTTGCCAGCAGCGGCCTCGTAGAGCTTCTTTTTCCTCGATAAGGAAGCCGTACGTGCTTCAGGACACTCAAGGCAGAACGGGGGCCTTTTTTTTTTTCAGGTGGCGTTTGTGAATGCACCTTGAATTCAGTCGCGGAGCACATAACGAAAAACCAGACGGCGTAAGATGTGCCGAATCCCAGTGTGCACTTGTAACTGGCAGGCTGGAGAATTCAATATTGCTCCTGGAATTCACAGAGAAGGCCCTCAGAAATCTCCGAACCTGTGCGAGGAACAGCACTGGTGACATGTGGCAGCAGGCTTTGTGCTTATCATCTGTGTCCCAGCTGGAGTGTGAACACACAGGGTCTCTATGGGAGAAGCACCACTGGCTGGAATGGAGCCTGTGTGACACAGGTGCGTAGCTCTTGTGGAATTAGAGCACTGAGCACCTGGAGGGGGTCAAACAGTCCTCTTCCCAGCGGACTGGCAGGGCTGGCGCCTTCCACCACAAAATTTCAGTTCCAAACATCTCCATTGGCGTCGCAGGACATCTGGAGTCCAGAAGAAGGGATGCACTTCAGATTAAGTGCAATCACCCGAAACACTCCTGCACACCCCCGAGAAAATCTGTTGAACATCTGGGTCAGGAAGAAGTTGCTGTGCAGTCAAGGCTGTTGGCACTGAAGGAGAAAGGTGCCGATAGCTTATGTTCATCAGGATGCCGCGTTGCTTATGAAACTGGAGTGTGCGAGGCAGACCAGCAGCGTCTGTCCGTAAGAGCACAGCAGAATGGACTTCCCCACTGACAGCATGCAGACTAAACCATGTGAAAGGCTACAAGGCCACAAGAGGGGCTCAGGCTATGAAGCCCGTTTGGTTGCCAGCAGGTGATCGCCTCAAGGCTGAGATCCCACTCTTTCTCGTAAAAGGTCTAGTTATAGAAACAGAAAGGAGTTGTGTTATGCTTGCCCATTCATGAGTCAAACCCGAGTGTTCTATTTCATTTGAACTGCATTCGTGTCCTTTCTCTTTCATGTCATTTTGGCAATTAAAATTACGAGCAGGTGATGGAAAACGGACAAGGTGATGTTTGACGTTATTCTGATGGAATGAACATTTTGCTTTTGCGACCTGCCCCTCACCTTCAGCTTCCTGAATGTATGTAGGAATGTGTGCCTTTAAGCTCCAGCTCCAACCGAGCGAATAAATACTAAACATGCAGTGTGTATCATATTTTTGCACGTACGGAGCAAATTGTGCAGGAGAAACTAGAAATCCTTTTCTGTTGAAGCTTCTGTAGAGACCTCTGAAATTGTATGGAGATCTCAATGCTCACAAACTGGTAACATAGCGGCCAACTACAGCCACACTGTGGCGCAGTGGTCATAACTCTAGACTTATAACTGAAAGGCTGTTGATTCAAAGCCCAGGTGGGGCAGGGCTCTGTACTGCTGAGTGAGGTACTTCACCCATATTGTTGCTGCTTGGTTTAAAAGTCTACTGTGCAGTGGTTAAGGTTCTGGACTGGCAACATGAGGATTGTGGGTTCAAATCTTAGGCGAGACACAGCTCTTGTTGCCTTAAATGACGTACGAAACTCATGAGGGACTGTGTAGAGGGTAATCACATAAGTTGTTTTGGCATCAGCCCAGCAAATAACGAGATAAATAGCATCCACAAACACGAATGATCACAACAAGCAGAGAACCTACAGGGAAAGCTGTCTCGCACAGCTTCTGCGTCCAGTCCTCCAGCTCGGCGCTCTCGGCGGCGAACACGAACAGCTTCTCCGTGGTCTCCACCAGGAAAGGCACGCAGTCCTTGGGGCAGCCGTCCATCTCCACCTCCGACACACGGATGCAGTCGCTCAGCTTGATCACCTTCTTGTTCTCCTGCTTGCGGAGCGCCTTGTCCGGCTTCTCCGTGTGGGCCCCGCTGTCCTTGCACTCGAAGAACTCCATGCGGGCGATGGAGCAGGTGCTCTCTCCGTAGACCGTGGACCAGACCTTCTTCCACTTCTGTGTGCGACAAGCAGAGTCAGGAATGAGCACGTGTTTTGAAGCAACAACAATAATACTTCCATACTCTTATATAGTGATTTTCTGGACACCTCGCTCAAAGCGCTTTACAGGTAATGGGAAATCCCACTACCACCACCAGTGTGCAGCCCCACCTGGATGATGTGACAGCAGTCAGAGTGCACCAGTTCGCTCCCCACATGCCAGCTCTCAGTGGGAAAGAGAGCAGAGTGATGAAACCAGTTCAGAGATGGGGGTTATTAGGAGGGCTTGATTGGTAAAGGCCAGTAGGAAATTTGGCCAGGACACTGGGGTAACACCCCTACCCTTTTCAAGAAACACCCTGTGATTTTTAATGACCACAGAGAGTCAGGACCTCAGTTTTATGTCTCATCCGAAGGACGGCGCCTTTTTTTACAGTGTAGTGTCCCCGTCACTAAACAAAAGGAAGAACTTAAAACAAAGCAAATTAAATTTTAAAATGTTCAATGAATGACAGAAATCTAGCTAGCCTTGCTCCTGCAGTCCTGTAACAGAAAAGAGAAATCTTATCGTGAACATTGCAGCTGACAGTAATGCAATCATGCACATTTTGGTACTAACTATAATAAGCATCACAGATATGCTTCCTGGCCTGTTCCTTCCAGTTGTGACATAAACAGTCTTGATAGTAAAAATGAGTAACCCACTTTCAAGTCTGTTGATCATATGTGCTTTCAGGAACACAAAATGTGAAATGTATTTTTTGTGTCCCAAAGAGACTCCAAAACTGTACTCTTAGAAGATTCATAGTGGGTTAAATGGAAAAATGTGGTCAAATCCGTTTCACTTTGAGAACACGTGAATACCCCCCCAAAATAAAACAAGATTGTTTTCCTAGCTGTCTTTTCGAGTCTGTTAAACTGAATGACTTCTACCCCGTGCTGAGCTGCAATTTTTTTTTCATTTCCATAATACAAAAGCACTAAATTAATCTTACTAAAACAGTCAATATTCTCTGCTCTTGTCTGTGGCAGAGCCGGTCCTCACGTAGTTTTCAAACATGTCATTTCACAACTTTCAGGCTCGTTTCCTGAATGTTCACTTTGCGATATTAAAAGAGGAAGAAGTTATATTTAGAAGGAAAAGATAAAAAAGAGTTTCTGGCATTTCTCAGATTGTTTCCAAGTGATATTATTTTTTTTGAAAGGGCGCGCGTTTTCAGTTGAAATTGGGGTTTCAACAGCTCAGAATGGATCTTAACATTTCTTCATCAAGCATCAGCCCAAATCTCTTTTGTCACTGCTGCAAGTCACACACTTTCTTTTTAAAAAAGCCTCTTCTCTTCTTTTTCTTTACTTTCCTAGAGCCTTGACGTCGTTATTGGCAGCAAAAATGTGTCGCTGCCTCTTTCAACGCTGAAGGGTTTCATTTGGATGGGGAAAGAATCCTTTTTTTTCCCTCTGCCCTCGGCCCTTCTGTAGTCTTGCGGATAGAGATGTCTCTTCAACTGGGACCTCGTTTTCACAAGTACACGTATGCATAAATAATAAAGCCATACGTTTCCTTATAATCTATCAAAACATAAAAATATGAACAGAAAACAGGTCATAAACGAGAGACGGCCCTTTGGCCCATCCGGTCTGTTTGGTGTTGGAGATCCCAGGATCTCCTCCAGCTACTTCCTGAAAGACGTTAAAGTATCACATGGCTGGGCAGCTCGTTCTACACTCTCACAAACTTTAAGGGGTCTTTTCAATACAATTTATTTTTATATAGCGCCTTTCACAACAAGGTTGCCCCAAGGCGCTTAACAATACAATTGACGATACATTTTGCCAATAATACATTTTGTCTTTTCCAGCCCTGCGGCAAACAGGCCTGTTGCACAGTCTCTGTGTGTGTGTGTGCAGGACAGCTGTGTGTGTGTTTCATAGTCTGAAAACACGCTCAAAATAACATTGCATGACTGCTCCTAAACCTCCTGGGGCAGCACAGTGGCATGGAGGTTGACACTGGTCTCGGGTTCAATTCTAGACGTAGACATCTGTCTGTGTGGAGCATGCACGGCCTCCCTGTGTTTCTGAGTTGATCTGGGTTCCTTCAAGGCCATGTGGGTTAGGTTTCATTGGATACTCTTCTAAATTCTCCTTTCCTGGGCAGGAGTTTCCAGAACAACCAATTCTTACTATGAGACCACGGAGAAGTTAAAGACAGGAGTTTACTGAATCTCCTTAATTCCTGTGTTTTCCAGGTACACGGGGCAGTAGTCTAGTAGATGAAATGCACTGATTATTGTAACGACGGAAATAATGATTTCCATACAAGGCCGTAGATGAAAATCAAACTGTGCAAAACTAAAGACGGAAAAGGGGTTGATTTCATTACAGAATCTGTGCTGTGTTCATTCTGTGTCCAGAAGCAAAATCCACAAACCTGAGGACACAAGGAGAAACTTAGGGGATGTGAGCAGGAGACACTTACTTACACTAATGGTTGTTGGGGTGTAGAACAAACTGCCAAACTATGTTGTTAAAGCCGATACCTGGACTTCTTTAAAGTCATTTTTGTATTTCATGAATCATTTTTGTAATGATTCACCAAAGGAATGAATCTGTATTGCATAAATGCGAGTGCTGATTTTGCTGTTAAGAAACAGCATGTGAAAAAAACATAAATACCTAGAGTGTTAATGCCAATGTAATAAAACCTGTGTTTTTACATTTTTTCTGGTGGGTGAGGGGTAAATTGAGTAAATGATTAATGATTGCCGCATGAGGAGAAAAATGATTTATTTAAACATGTGAAGTGGTGGGGTTTTTCAAAGCATTTTTGAAAAGCTGCAACTGGAAAAAATGTTGGATTTTTTTTTTTGGTGCATGAGATCATTTCATGTTACACACAACGTGAAATCCTGTGAAATACAGCCCTGTACATCGTAGCCAAAAACGACCGCTGTCAGGACAATCACATTACTATTTTGTTGTCTCCCTTGTGTTCAAAATGAAAATGGAACACAATCCCAGCAGAAAATGTTTTAATAACGTCTTATTGAAAGACAAAGTGGGTCTTTCTGGGGTGATGGGTTGCAATAGCGCACTGTAAATGAACACGAAAGAAAGACTGCTTTAAGCTGTTATCGGCATGATCATACTTTGAAATGATTTTGAAAGCATTTGTCAAGTATTATTTTAACTTCCTGCTTATAGATCTTCAAGTACAATAACAGAATACAGCTTCTGTCGCTGTTTGCCCTTATTGGGAAACACCTCCAGCCCCCAGGCTTTCTGTAGACAGAACATTAAAGTGTGTTAAAGGACAACATGTTCAAACAGTCTCTCATTTCACAATTTCTTTGTGGTTCCAAAAGTAGCTTTTGTTTTCATTTCTTTAGCCCTTAATGGTACTGTACCATGTAAAACGTTTTTGTGCGTTCAGGTTTTAAGGTTTTAGCAAACTGATGCTAGTCAGTTTACTCTGCTTTGGTCAAGTCTTGCGCCAGTTTGTGCCATACCTCTGTATGTCTTCTCTAGTCTCTTCGCATCATTTACCACCCTTTACAGGACTGAAAGTGTCCAGTAATCTTCAAAAGGTTTCCCTGTCATGTAAAATACTTTCTACCATCTTATGGACTTACATATACTTGTTTTTATTGCACAAGTAAAGCACTCTTTTGCAATCCCAGAGCTCTTTTTCTTATTGCAAGCTTTCAAACAACAACATGAGAACTCGTGACTGGCCTGCATGCGACTCTTAGATCATCGATTTTCTGTTTTTCCCTTTCAACCCGTAACACCACCCACGCAACCAGTGCGTGTGAGACTGGCTTTCTGAGCTCCAGACAGTGGCAGTCGAATGGTTTCTTGAAGACATAGAGAAGCAAATGTTAGAACGTCTCCCACAGCTCGCTGCTGCACAAGGAGGGCACTGAGCCTGCAGTTGCAAGGGCTCAGCCAAGAACAGCCATGAATCCTCGCTGCTGGAAATGAAAAGCTTGCGGGGAAGCACACTTTGCACAGCTCATTTCTGCCATTGTTTGTTTTCTACCAGCTCTTCAAGCTCTTTTAAAATAGTAGGGCTCTTTACATCACCAACCAATGATGCTAGAAGGTATTAGTCCTACTTTTCAATAGTTCCAAGCACTTGGCACAGCTTTACAAAGGGCTAAAAGACCAGACAAGGTGACAGTTATGCAGTTAACCAGGCGTACTGTGGGCTCACAAGCAGTGTGGCCATGAGACTGGTTGAGGAGTTAGAGGTGGATAAGCTGACAAAGAGGAACAAGCCGCCTAAGCCCGTATGACACAACCTCCTTCGCAGACTCGTCCTGTTGTCTCCAAAACAGCCTCGAAGACAGGAGCTGGACAGGACCCGCTGAGAAGGCCTTACCTTCCCGAATCTCTGCTGCTGAAGGTACAACACTCCCTGTTTCCTAATGGCCTCCTCCATCTTCCACCGGCGTGCCTCTCCCTCTCCCTCTCCCCGCCGCTGAAGAAAGCCGTCTGCGCTCTACAAGTGCAACGAGCTGGGCTTGTGGTATCAGGAGGTGACGCAACTGCCCTCGAGTTCCTCATCGCTTCTGACTTCCTCTGCCCCGCTCTCTCGTTTCAGAGGCCTCTGCTGTCTCAGGAAGGCTTTGCTACTCCTCAGCAGGATGGTTCTCATGGCTGTTTTTTTTTTTTTTTCGTAAACCACCGATCCCAAGCCGAGTTCCTCTGCCTCATTGTGACACACTGCAATCTTCTGTTCGTGTGGTAACTCATAAGCCACCCTGAGCTGCAGGCGTGACACGTCGATTGATCTCCAGGCCCCGCAAGCTGACGTCTCTCCTTAATGTTTTGGTCTCGCAGTTCCTAGATTTGCTGCTGAAGCCGTTGGACTTTCTAATGCAGTGTGTGCACTGTGCATATTGTGCATATGTTTTGTTCTCTTTCATGTTCAGCACGCACACACACACACACTAAGAGTTACCTGTCGGCAAGCAGTGACTTCACTGTGAGGATGCGGTAAGGTCTTGTCTGGTTTGCCAGCTTTTCCTGGCACCTGAACCCCCTTGTAAATGCTGTGTCTGCCAACTGCATGCTTTTGCAGTTTCGATAATAATGAATCTATGCAAAATCTAACCTTTGATTAACAAGTGAATTTGTCTGAAGTAACAGTTCACATCGGACAAAAAATTTTTTTTAAATGAATGTTAGATTTTTTTAGGGCAGCAATACCTGAACAAAGACTTTCCTTTTATAACAATGGACTACCAAAATACTATACCACCAGTATTTAATTTTCCTGGGGCAGTATAAATAAATGTACTTATTGGCTTACTAATTGTCCAGGTTCAGAATCAGCATACTGCCAGTTGAAGTGTGAAAAACCTCACACCAGTCGGCAGTTGCCCACAAAACGTTACCTCACTTCCTGGACCATGATGGACCCTGTCTATATACAGAATGGGTGAGGTGCAGGTCAGGGACAGTCTGAGTAATGGGCCCGTTTTTGTACCTCAGAAAAGGGAAACTAATCTTTTTGAATCTTCAAGCTTTCAGGTACCTGCAATTAGTGTCCTATCTGAACCTCACATAATCTCACAGGGACTTTGAACACCTCTGTCTGCTGGGCTGACTGACATATGTGTGAGGTAGTCCTGCAGGCAATTTAACACTCAAAGAAATCAGCAACGCTGACAATTCATACATCACTCCTGCAGTTAATGTTATTTCCCAGCGGCCTGCGATTGTGTATGTAATTGAAATGAACTCCTGCCTGAAGAATTAGAAAAGGCAGCTTGGCACAGGGCTATGAGAAAAATGGAAATTCAGAGAAAATGGATGAAGGTCATGTGGGAGAGAGAGTTTGACAGGCATAGTTGAAGAGGAATTATATCAACTGTTTTGTGTCCTTCTCTGCTCTCTGTTTAAGCCTCTGGAAGGATGTCCTTTTCTCATGCCATGCCTTACTACTGACCGCTACTGTAGCTGGAGCCTGTCCAGGCTCCCGCGAAGCATAGTTCAGGACCCCCTGCAGACGGTATCATCCGGAAGTGAGTGGAGAAGGACAACGGGGAGGAGACGACGAGGATCAGGACAGGATGACAAACAGGGGGGCGGGACTATGGTGATCCGGTGCTCGGGGGGCGTGGCGATGGCAGACAAGTTCAGGCTGTCCAAAAGGGGGAATCCGGGGCGAAGTCCGAATTCCCACAAAGATGAAACAAACAGTTAAAATCCGGAACGGGATCAGGGACAGTGACAGGGAACCAGGAAGATAAAAACAGGATAATGAGGCCAGGCGCTCCGAGCCCCGGTCTCAGATGGTCAGGACGCCGTGATGAAGCCTATGCTGTCGGGTCTCTCCTGGACCCGCTGGTAGGCAGGCTTCCGGGCGTCCATCTCCCAGTGCTGAGCCAGGAATAGCAGGAGCACCAGGCTTAAATAGTGGGACAAAACAAGAGGCAGGTGCACATACTCAACTAAATTAGGAAAGGGTCAGAGCGCACTTTAAGAGGAGGGATGCCGATCGTGACAGCTACCACAGAGGTGTTCGTTCTTGCCCAGCAGCCATGTCTTCACTCAAGATTCTGCCTTGCTCGGGGAAGGTGCTAGGTCAGCACAGTGCTGGCTCAAACCTTGTCATTGGCCCGCTCTGAGCAGGCTTGACCCTGAGTCTGTCAGTCAGTCAGTTAAGGCTGCTTGATCTTGCCGTGCAGAAGTGCTCAGCGGGCCGTGTTGTTGCTTACAAGCTTCAGTGAGAGACATCAGTGAGAGAGATTCAGCTCTTCCATCCAGCACTGGGGCTCCTACAGGGAGGGAGCGTGTGCAAAATGGCTGGTGGCTCCGGCAGGCAGGAGGGGGAGACTGTGCATGAGTCCTCGCTCTCCCTCCGCAGCAGGTTGGACTCATAAGCAGTCAGCAAGTCCAGACTGGTGGCATATAGGGAAACCGAAATGAAAATGAAAAACATCACACCATTGGGAACCCGGGTGAGGGTGAAAATAGAAAAACAGTTTGTAATTCCAATCAAACTGCACTTAGAATTTCATTCGGTCCTGATTCCTGGGTGGTGGCCTGCTAACCTCACCCTGACCTGAATTTTGAGACAGAGAGACCTGGCATCTTTATCTGCACACAGCACTTCATTTTTGGCCATTTCATTTACTAAGCTCCTCAGTCTTTTTCTCTCACGGTAATTTTAAGTCCCAGCTGAGTTTTGTGAGTGAGCTCTCATGCCCACGGTTATTTATATCGGTGACCTGCAGGCACGGTCGTGTTTGCGGAAATGCTCGTAAGAGACTGAGGTGAGGCGGTCACTTCTCAAAGTCTGCCCTAGCAGTGAAGTCAGTACACATCCCTGGGTGCGAGCAACAAGCGCTCATCCTGTTCCACAATGTAGTGCAGAGCCAGTTCTAAAGTGTCATTTCCTTTCTGTATAGAGGCGGTTTTATCTCAAACACAGACGGTTTCCTGGAGACTTCCCACTGCAGAGCACTGTTCTCTTTGAAATTGCTCTTGGGTTGACCCCTACACTGCTGTTTTCTCCTTATCTTTTCTATGTATGGTGGAGTCACTTCATTCATAAAACTGCTAGGGGTTGTAGCATGTCACCATGGCAACTTTAGATAACAGCTGTGATGCCTACTGGGGCAGACATAGGCAGACGCAGGCAGACATTTTCCCTGATCGTGCACCGATAAGCTGCATGACCAGCTCAGGTTATCCCAAGTCTGCCTGCTTGTGAATACGATTTCATTCAAGATCTTAGTATAAGAGTGTTACGAAACGTTCTTTCAGGACCCTATGCAGAGGACACAATCCGGAAGAGAATGAACACACACTGGGAGGAGACCAGGAACTGGGCTGGTAGAGGAACGGGGGGGGCGTGACGAAGGTGCTCTGGGGGGCATGGTCCATACTGGGACTACACATGTATTTACTGCTGGAATACAACAGACATAACATTTATATTGCAATACTATATATTAACCCTATATAAGCATTTAATTATGTTTAACAAATGTTTAATATTGAAGATACATCCCAATAATAATTTCTAACATGCTGACAAAGTGAGGAGTCAGATCTATACCTGAAGCTGTCTGTGAATGGAAGGTTTATTCCAACTTGTTTGAACACATTGAAAGGTTGGTCACTCTTTATATGTTTAGATACATTCGATGAATTATTGATAAATGGTGCTGGAATGTAAAGTGCTATCAAGCTATGTGTTTGAAGGAAGTGGTTGTGTCTTTTACTGCTGAAGGTGGGTGTAATACTGTCAAATTCTTCACCTTGATGGCGGAGATGCAAACTCATTACTCTGCAGCTGATATTCAGACCATGGTCACAGTGCACCTTGCTCTGGGCCGGGATAAAGACCTGTAAGATTAGAGTTTCAGCAATAATGGTAAAAGAACTGCTTTGCTACAATTTGTAATTGAGCTCACATACTGCCTCCTTGCCCTCTCCTCACTCGCCCTCTAACCTTCTACCAGAACCTGTTAGGTGGAGACCAAGCCGATTAAGGTTTTCTTTCCTCAGCTGGTGGTTCCAGCTTCCAGTGTCAGACAGACAGTAACAGAGATCTGCAGACAAGGCACAGATGAGTCCACCCTACGACCTAAAGGTGCTTTTACAAGGAACTCCAGGCTTCGTGAATCTTTGTCTCCTGGGTGATTGGTTCCAAATACACAGACCCTCTGAGTAAAAGGAGGGCTTCCTGTTTGTGTCATGTGGGCACTTCCATTGAGATTGCACTCATAACTGCTAGTCCTGCCCTTCTCGTTGACTTTAATATGCTTGTTTCAGATGAACTTGTCAGCTGCTCCTGGAGATTTTAATACCTTACTCAGAAGAAATCGAACCTAAAGGAAAGTGAGCTGAAGTATCTCCTTCCTTTTCTAGGATTTGTTTCTCTTTTGATTTTAGGGTTTAAGCACTACTGTGTTGAAACCCCTGGTTGAAGAGCATGTGGCTCAAAGATGGGCAGACAGCCTCACCAGGACATCAAAGAGGAAGTCCATTTCAATTCCCGAAAATATCAAATTCATCTGTTGCAAATTTTCAGTATCATTCAACAATAAGCCTCACATGTCTGCTCGGTAAGAGGGAATGATACAGATCTACAGCATATTATCAGGGCATGAAAATTACATCATTTCTATTACATTCAACGTGATCATAGAAAAAAATGTAGAAAAACATAGAAAAAAATGTTAAAACAGACAAGTAATGCAACCATTTAGTTTCAATTCCCCTTAATGTACTTCGTAGTGCAACACAAGTCTTGTTCTATAAAAAATCATCTTGTGTATATGTTCCAACCAAAACGAGGGTAACTTTACTGTGGAGAAGTCAAGGTGCCCCAAAAGATAATAAACATCTGAAATGGTGTCCTTGTTGCAGGATATCTGCAGGAATATTCACAGAAGAAAAAGTGAGAATTCTTCCTTTGTAAAGCAACATGTGCAAACCTTCATCCCAAATCTGACTTGCAAATGTCTGGCACAGCAAAAGAGAGGCTGACACCTGGCATGAGCGGTAAAATATGAATCAAAATGAAAAAGGAAGCAGAAGAAAAAAGGCATCTTTCCTGTGCGACTTGAAAAGAGTAATTGCTATCAAATGGGTGATCTGGGATGAATTTTGCAGGCCAAGAGATGGAG